GTGTATTACTCTGGTGAAACCCAAGATTATGGGCTTACCGTGCTGACAAACGTTGAAACATTAAAAAATAAAGAGCTACAACAGTGTCATATAAAAGTGTATTTCATTGTTAACAAATGTTTTGACAATGGTTAGTAGTCAGGAATGTAGTACTATCCAATGTAAGCAGTAGTGTGGAAGTTACTATGTTTAATTGATTTTAGAGTCATGTGTAGTCTGGAATTTTCTAGAACAGCTGGACTAACCCAGCATGGTATAGAACCTTCTAGAAAGTATTTAGGCTATACAAGGGGCACAATGAATTATTTTGGATAGATTGAGTATAGATGTTTTGATAAATTATTGTTTCAATTTGGACGTCGACACGTAACAACAGATCAATGTCAGTCAATGTGAATTTTGTTTTCTTTATTCAATTTCCACCAACGACCCAGCGCAGCACATGCGATGATGGACACCTAAATATGTTTACTGTGATCCTGCTCAAAATCTTTCCATTGCACCCTAAAGTCTGTCGTGTGTAACGAGTGTGTGAGTGAGTTTGGTTTTACGCCGCTTTAAGCAATTTTTTTTCAGCAATATCACGGCGGGGGACACCAGAAATGGGCTTCACACATTATACCCATGTCGGGAATCGAACCTGGTTCTTCGGCGTGACGAGCGAACGCTTTAAGCACCAGGCTACCTGACCGCCCCCGTGTGTAACGAAGCGGCTAAATTCGCATCTCTATAGCAAATGTAGCTAGAGTCCATATCAGAGTCCAGATCTGTGGCTGCTAACATGTAGCTAAGACAGCTAGGTATAATATACTACTCAAGAGAAGTGAAGGACCGCCCGATTCCTTCTTATTATTGTAATCTGTCTTGCCATGATAGATGAATTATAGTTATATGAAAGAATCGGTGGTCCTTAACTTCTTTTGAGTAGTATAGATTAAGTTAAGAAAGATAACATAATCATGATACTTATGGAATGTTCTTTTATTGAACGTTTTAACAAGGAAACACAAGTCCATGATCATGTATGCACCCAGTGTCGCATTGTCCAAATGACAAGCAAGATCTTCCATCTTCTTTAAAATATATTTTAAGAAACTCTTTAAACATTTTTGGAAATGTCAGAAGAAATAGACAGTTCGTTGACATGAAAAGTATTGTACTCTTTTTTTTGTGTGGAAGAAAATGTCTATTTTCATAACTGTTACAGGGACGAGTTTTGCCCAGCGTGCCACATACTGAGAGAGCTAAGTGTCTGTATATACAGGGGATGACGATCCGAGCTAGTATTCATTATTATTTACATTTCTCAACAAAGATCGAAACATTTCGCAAATATGTGTGAAGATGGTATTTGCATAAACCTCCCGCATTCAGTGAGTAACATTCTTGAGTCATAAAAAGGAAAAAGCTGTAAACAAAAACACATCGATTAGATAAATGTAGTGTTTGGCCATTAAACTGCTAATAAAGCTAGGAGGGACGGTATAAAAACGTGTCAGTGTTATGTTGAAATATTTAACAATATAATATATGTACCCATCCACAACGTTGGTGTCTGCACAAATCCTTTGTACATATAGTGTTCGTCTAAACATGGAGGACGCAACGCTGTCTTTTATTGGCCGACAAGAAGTGGCTCAAAGAACTTTTGGGACAGTCCCGAAAACGCATCGATCCCGTTGTGACAAGAGTTGTTTGCCCTTGAATGGGTTTCATTTGGCTGCCGCTGGTCAAGTGAACGTCATTGCCCTCTGATTCAACACTGGGAACATCGAACTAAGTAGTTTGGGGAAATTAGCAATTAAACATTCAACAAAGGGTATGACGTCATTCAAGGTTACCTGATTGATTAGGTTTCGTTGACATTCTTTTCGCTGGGACCACAGGAATTTCAGCAAGTTGCTTCTGGACACAACTGAAACTGCTGTAAAAAGTATATGCACATGTTGTGTCACGAGGTGCACGTGCCGCATGCTTCTGGGGATATGAGATTGCATAGGGACACTTGAACACCGGAATACTGCATGTCTGCACACAGGCAGTTACATAAAACTTGTGGAGATCCAGGCATATAGTTTGTTTGTTGTTTAACGCCGCACTCAACAATATTACTCAATAATCGAGTATGGACATGACAATCCAGTGACTGATGTCATGAGCATCGATTCGCGCAATTGGGATACGATGGCATACATCAACTAAGTCTGCGAGCCTGGCCACCCGATCCCGTTAGTCACCTCTTACGACAAGCATGGGTTCGGGAAGACCAGTTCTTACCCGGATCTTCACGGGTTCCAGGTGTATAGAACGTATCCGAACCGGTGAGTTAGTAGTCGGAGCGGAGGATTATCAGGGGGATGTGGGTGGGGGTAAATACATGACATTGATACTTAGTTATAGGTAGTATTTAGGGATACACAGGTCACATATCAGACTGAAGCACGAGTAGCACATGTAGCACATGTGGTGTGTCCTAAGGCAGGTGACTTCAAAATGTGCCTCTGTTCACCTGGCAGTAAATGGGTACCCGGTAGAATGATATGACAATGCGTCTTTTATAATGAGGGAAGGTGCCTTCTTTTTAAACCGGAATCCCATATTACCCTCATTCATATCACCATTCCACCGTCGCGTAACTCCGTACAAAAAATCAACAGGAAATCATCACAGGCTATACAGTTTTATTTTGTTTTATTGTGGTTACATAGGGGGCTACAAGTATCAAATAATTCCTCGTGTTTTGTCTTTGATCTGCATGTACCCTATGTCCAGATACAAGTGTTGTTCGAATAGTTTAGTTGGTGTTTCTCCTCCTCCCTTGTTCTCTCTGTTCTCACAAAACCAAGGTCGGCCGAAATTGTCCCGGTATAATGCCACGTTACGTGGCAGACAGACAATAGACAACATATCATCCAAAACTGGCTCCCACAGGAGATATCACTGGGTGAGATCAAGCGATATCTACACTGTAGATATCGCTGCAATGAAATTGCGTCACAATGTTTTGCAAACCATTGTGACGTCATTGGTTACCATGACTTCACAATCAAATGACGTCACTAATGGCTTTGCAACTGAAGCTGTTAGTATTCTTTACACTTAAGACGCTGCTTATTACTATCTACAAATTGAAAAAGTTTGAAGAATGATGTTGGATGATAAATAAAATCTCACCCTCGTGTCTTTTGATATCAAATATATCAACACTCGTTGATATATTTGATACCAAAAGACACTCGGGTGAGATTCTCTATATATTATACATAGACAACGTTTACGGACTACTCCTTGTCCCTTCACCCCATTGAGCGTTGTGTGTGTCATAGTGAGAGAGTGAGTATGGTTTAGCAATATTTCAGCAGCATCACAGCTTCAAATAGTATACCAATTTGGACGTATGTATGATAAAGAAATAGTTGTCCATAAAATTCCTTGTCATAAAAAAGTCATCGTCTTATAGATTTCGATAACGAAGCAGTAATTACAGTCGACCACGTCTCATATGAAGGTAGAGTTGACTTACGGAACTACCATCAATATCCTGGCGGCTGGGGGTTCGACAGGATATATTTTCGACATTTGTTTCTGTGATATGTTTGTTTCCACAGACCACCAGCATGTTGTAAACAATCCCTAACCCACCACTCCACATTCCACCACCCCACACATTCCACCACCCCATCCAATTATCAAATGACGATACCCTTGTGGATTTCAACTTTTTTCTTTATGCTTTCCAGTGCGATGTTTTGGTAAAAGTGCTAGTATGTGTGAGTGTGTGTGAATGAGTGAGAGAGAGAGAGAGAGTGTGTGTGTGTGTGTTAGTGAGTGAGAGTGAGAGAGACAGTGTGTGTGTGTGTGAGTGAGTGAGAAAGAGAGAGAGTGTGTTTGAGTTGTGTGTGTGAGTGTGTGAGAGTGTGTGTATTTGTGAGTGTGTGTGTATGTGTGTGTGTGTGAGAGAGAGAGAAACAGTGCGTGTGTGTATGTGAGTAAGTGTGTGAGAGTTGTGTGTGAGTGTGTGTATGTGTGCGTGTGTGAGAGAGACCGTGTGTGTGCGAAAGTGTGTGTGTGTGTGTGTGTGTGTGTGTGTGTGTGTGTGTGTGTGTGTGTGTGTGTGTGTGTGTGTGTGAACGTGTGTTAGGCAAAGTATATATACATAACATACATAATTTCGTTGAAAGCCATGTAAGGGTATGTTGGACGATGGGCCTCTATTGTAACACACCTATGAACATATATACACTCTGTTCCCCGTTTCTCTTCATATATTGCTGATTTTTCTTTCAAACGAAAGCAGAAAATATAAAATGAGTATCCAATTTCATGATGTAAACTATTAATCTTTTTATCAAATGAAAGATATAATATAACACGTACAAAACAGTTGGTAGTTAAGATTAGTAGTTTCAGACCAATAGGTTCATGAATAGTTCCCAATAACGGGAGAAGTAGTAGAAGAGTGAGTGACTGCTGTTTTATGCCGCAGTCAGGACCAAGCAAACCAGTGGCTGACAGCACGAGCAAACGATACGTGCCATCTTGCCCAAGCAAGGGGTTTCACACACTGTACCCATTTTGGGAATCGAACCCGGGTCTTCCGCGTGCCAAGAGAACGCATTAACCATTATGCTAAGCCACCGCCCCCGGGCGGCCATTACATTACAACCCCCGAGTGTTTTACATGCTTATTTATGCTCACAATAATTTTCAAGATTCATTCAGATATATGCAATAGAGATAGTATATATATATATCTGTGTAATTTTAACTTGAAATTTCCTTTTTAAGCTCTTTACTATTGAACATTCGGTTTCATGCCGACCAACTCCGTGGCCTAGTGGTAGAACATCCGCTCGTAGAGCGTTAAAAATACGTTAAAAGATGGTACTTGTTGTTTCCCTGCCCGGCGCTAAGCATTAAGGGGCTATAACAAGGACTGGTCGGCTCGGTGTCAGTGTACTGTCTGAGTGGGGTATTCATGTTAAATTGCGACATGGTATCTCAGTGAGCTAGCACTATAAGTCGGCATCAGTCCGGACTAGTACAAGCAGACACACACACGCAGTGCATTCACGTCGCTATATAAGTGCAATAATCTTGGACGTGACGTTAAGCCCCATTTCACCAAACCTCACCTCGGTTTCAGATCGAAATCCACAGTACGGGCGACAAACTGTCAACTCAACAGTCAAGATATATATTGTTCTGATTCTCCGGACCAGTTACTTCATTGGCAAAATTTGTGTTATTTGTCTGTCGACACTAGCCTAGATCAACTCGACATAGCAATACACCAAAACCATAAAGACGAAAGTTAAATCCATTTAAACTCAAAGAAAGTTCAAACTTATAGACGTTTCTCATGCGAACGCATGTTCTTATTACCAGGCCCAAGGGCTGAGTGACACTTAATAAAGTAAAAAACTTTGAGCTTAAGCCGAGAACAAAGAAATACTGTGAAATACTATATTGTGGAGATATGGTAATTGCTACGCATGTTCACTGCATTCCTCCGTGATGTAGTTCCGGTTAAACCAAACCACAGTTTCACGTCAGCCTTGTACATCCGGCAACGATTCCTTGCTCTTCAATATCTTCTCTCTGGAATCAGTTCTCTTGTTGCCATGAGAACGTGCAGTAAATCCATTTAAAATAGTCCACCTAGGTTCTGTTTGTGTATTCTCTGTACTGATCATTGCGGGCTTGCTGCTCATCACCGTGATTGGACGACGGGGTTCTGACCGGAAGTGATCCGAGTGTACGTTGAATTCTGGGAGACTCGGCCTCGCCATGGAATGTCTGGTACCGGTGCGACTCTGCACGGTCTGACTGATAGTCTCTCCGAACACGCTCTTCCTGTGCCCCAAACCTGGAGAAATAAACAACATATACTCTATTGAAAATGTACATGTACACGCGGGTGAGCCTATTGCATTTCAAACACACTGCGGCGAGTTGGTGGCTGAGTGAGTGAGTGGACTGATTGGTGAGTGAGTGAGGGGATGAATGGGTGGGTGAGTGAGTGAGTGAGTGGACTGATGGGTGAGTGAGTGAGGGGATGAATTGGTGGGTGAGTGAGTGAGTGAGTGGACTGATGGGTGAGTGAGTGAGGGGATGAATTGGTGGGTGAGTGAGTGAGTGAGTGGACTGATTGGTGAGTGAGTGAGGGGATGAATGGGTGGGTGAGTGAGTGAGTGAGTGGACTGATGGGTGAGTGAGTGAGGGGATGAATTGGTGGGTGAGTGAGTGAGTGAGTGGACTGATGGGTGAGTGAGTGAGGGGATGAATTGGTGGGTGAGTGAGTGAGTGAGTGGACTGATGGGTGAGTGAATGAGAGGATGAATGGGTGGGTGAGTGAGTGAGTGAGTGAGTGGACTGATGGGTGAGTGAGTGAGGGGATGAATGGGTGGGTGAGTGAGTGAGTGAGTGGACTGATGGGTGAGTGAGTGAGAGGATGAATGGGTGAATGAGTGAGTTAGTGAGTGAGTGAGAAGATGACTCGACGAGTGAGGGAATGACTGGGTGAGTGAGTGAGTGAGTGAGTGAGTGACTCGGCGAGTGAGGGAATGACTGGGTAATACGTGTGTAACTGTCACCGTGTGAGTGAATGGCTGGGCGAGTGAGTTAAGGGGATGGCCGAGCGAGTGAGTGGCTGGATAACTGGGCGTGTGAGAATGTGAGTGCGGCGATAAATGGGCGAGTAATTGGCTGGTTGACTGGTTGAATGAGTGTGTGATGTAAGGTAGCTGAGCGAGTTAGTGGGTGTGTAGGATTTAGTGAAATTTAGGTGTGCAGTTTAAGGTGTGGGCTGGGCTGGCGATGTCTAAACAATTGTCTAGTCTTAGGAGGACGTCAACCCACAGTGTGCACATGAAAGGGGTCGTACATTGTGACATTTACGTAAATATCGACCCTATGATACATTCAGATGGGGCACTGCACCTACAGTCATAAACAATAGAATGTACGCATTATACAATTATATCACATTAATTAATAATTACTTTACGTACTTCAGTAAAACAAGCTCCAAGAAATTAAAAGTTCCAATTTTATCCTTCTGACTCTTTTCACGCATCTTGTTCCTGGACATGCTGCCGCCCTGTCACTCTCCTCCTACAAATATCGCTTATCACAATAATATTGTATTAGGATCCCTTTCAGAACGCGGATATTTACACATAACCATGACAACCTCAAACCATTTCACTCTTTGTTTAAAAAAAACACTACCGTCACACTTGGACATTCAAGACAGTTGTGTGAATCTTCGCCCGGCATTAGCCAGATACTTGATGGCACTGACCAAACCAAGCCAAACACTGCCATCATGCCAACACCCGTTTATACCAACTCGGGGATTAACGTTGTGGAATCAGCCTATCGGAATTACTCTTTTCGGATTCAAATAGCGTCAAATAAATTCTTGAAGAATGCTGTAAAATGAAGGCATCATATGTGGTATGGGGTACCATTTGAGTGCTTATGTGAGCATGCAGAAATGAAATAAAGTGGACAGATAAATGTGTAAGCTTCTACGGGTGTGTTTGTTTGTTTATTGTGTAACGTTGCCCTCGGCAATATCCAAGCCGTGTTACGTTCGGTTGTTTCGAGGGTAGTGTTGGTCGCCAAGAAACAGTTAAAAAACACGTCTACATGGTCAACATGTTTTGTTGGTTTTGTTTGTTGTTTAGCACCGAATATTCCAGCTATATGACGGCGGTCTGTAAATAATCGAGTCTGAACCACACCATCCAGTGATTGATATTATGAGCAACGACCCAAGCCGTACGTCGAGCTACGATAACAGGCAATCCACCAAGTCACCGAGTCTGACTACCCGATAAATTAAGTCGCCTCCCACAATGACTCGTTATTGCGGAATATTGATAACCAGCACCAGGAACGTTACGGTCCAGATTAACGAGGTCTCATCGCGTTAAAGCAGTGGAATTTTGAAAAAAATCTATATTGTTTAACGCCGCACTCAGCAATATACAAGTTATATGACGGCGGCACATAGTTGACCAACTCTGGGCCAGACAATCCAGTGGTTGATATTTTGGGCAACTATGCGATAACAGACAGTCAAACCAGGTCACTGAGCCATTTAATCGCCTCTTGGGTTAGAGGGGCCGATTCAAACCCGGAACCCACATTGGCGCAGTGGGAGTAGATTTCAGGAAGTGACTAATAGACATGAGTTATATTAGCAGGAAGACATCTGGGAAATAAAATGAGCCCAAGAGGGAAATACGTGTGGGAATTGTGCGTGATCTGGGCGGGTAATCAACTAGTGTGTGAGAGAGTGAATTTTGGGGGGTGGGATTGAGTCGGGGTGTGAGTGATCGAGTGAGTGGGTAGGTGGGTCAGTGAGTAAGTTGGTGGTTGGATGAGAGGGTGGTTGGTTGAGTGATGAGTAAGTGAGTGAGTGAGTGAGTGAGTTTGTTGGTGGGTGGGTTTGGTGTGTAGATGAATGGTTAAATGAGTGAGTGAGTGAGTAAGATATTTGTTCTCCCTCAAGGCAACAAAACCACTTCTCCCTAAAAGAAACAAAATCACTTCTCCCTAAAAGAAACAAAACCACTTCTCCCTAAAAGAAACAAAACCACTTCTCCCTAAAAGAATCAAAACCACTTCTCCCTTAAAGAAACAAAATCACTTCTCCCTCAAGGCAACAAAATCACTTCTCCCTAAAAGAAACAAAATCACTTCTCCCTTAAGGAAACAAAACCACTTCTCCCTAAAAGAAACAAAATCACTTCTCCCTAAAAGAAACAAAACCACTTCTCCCTAAAAGAAACAAAACCACTTCTCCCTTAAGGAAACAAAATCACTTCTCCCTCAAGGCAACAAAATATCTTCTCCCTAAAAGAAACAAAATCACTTCTCCCTCAAGGAAACAAAATCACTTCTCCCTAAAAGAAACAAAACCACTTCTCCCTAAAAGAAACAAAACCACTTCTCCCTAAAAGAAACAAAACCACAAAACCACTTCTCCCGCAAGGAAACAAAACCACTTCTCCCTCAAGGCAACAAAACCACTTCTTCCTCAAGGCAACAAAACCCCTTCTCCCTCAAGGGAACAAAACCACTTCTCCCTCAAGGCAACAAAACCACTTCTCCCTGCAACTGTTCAGTGTGCCCGTTTGGCTCAGTTCTACATGACAAAGGCGGGTTCACGTCATAACCGATCAACGGCTCAACTTACGTGTCTGTCAAAATTGGTTCTTGGTTAGATGTGTTTACCATGAACATATTCTGAGCATGGTAATAAAAGAATACAACCTGGACAAAAAGTCGTCAAGGTAATCGATGGAAGCCACTTCGTCTGTTGTGACAATGACGAGGCAGGCTGTCGTGGTTTTGAAAACAGCGTTATTCGCCAAGAAACAGACGACGAGTGAAAACACGACCACGTGTTCAGCAGGTTTTGCTGGTCTGTTTGATGTTTAACGCCGCACTCAGCAATGTTCCAGGTATATAGCGGCGGTCCGTCAATAATCGATTCTGGACCAGACAATCCAGTGATTGACATCATAAGCATCGATCTACGCAATTGGGATTTGATGACATGCATTAACCAAGTCAGCGAGCCTGACCACCCGATCCCGTTAGTCGCCTCTTAAAACAAGCATGGGTTCCTGAAGACAAATGCTAACCCGGTTCTTCAAGCGTGGAGACAAGCATGGGTTGCTGAAGACCAATGCTAACCTGGATCTTCACGGATCTGTTCAGCAGGTACACGTGTACACGTCTTTGCCGCACCTCCGTCTCAGCAAGCCACGTGTGTCGGTTAGCATGGCGCGAGATACATGTCAGTGAAATTGCATATCAGTAATAATGTCTTCGTCATACAATTTTAGAAACCAGGTAGTAATACAATGCCCGAGTGAACCAACCCGTGTATTATATAGTGCCAAATGATTCACGCCCACGTGTCTGCACATAAACACTCAAACTTCGGGAAGCATTCACTTGAACTCCATGTGAACGTTAGGCAATTGTTCTTCGAGCAAGTAGACATTGAATCGATATATGGAGCTTATCCTACTATGAGACCTCATTTGCAAATTTATCGAATCGTGGACGCATTAGTTTAACACAACGAAAACAGAATTATATGATAAAATGCTTGGAAGTTCGGCCATTAAACATTTATTCTAAGAATCTATGTGTATTTCAGCAACATCAAATTGGACATTGCAAGAGAGAGTTTATTCAGTATTGAAGGCCTCGTGGCCAAGAGTACAATTTCTTTCATATGGCACGACAAGGACAAACATCTTGTTATAAGCTATTTATTGCAAAAATACCACTGAACGTAAATTACTTTATTACTTTAAATTATGTGCTTATAATAAGGAATAAGTTTTATAACGACACATCACCTCAGTGGTCACAGCTTAATAGTGATTTAACCAGTCATCACAAATATGTCCCTCCCAGTCGCCATTGTGGCCATTGTGGCCCCCGGATCCCCTTTTTACCGGCTTTAGGTTGGGTATCAAGACTAATTCCACGCCATGATACCCCCGGGGTCGTGTTAATACACATGTTTTTGGAAGCAATTAACATTGTTGACTTAGTACAGAGAGTACAGTTACGAAATATTGAGAAACGACGTACCATGTCCTGGCTTCCGGTTGCGACAGATGACATAGGTGATGATGAGGATGATGACACCCAATCCTGCTAAACCGGCGAATATCAACCAGAATCTGCGAACAGTACTCACATATTATTATACAATTAGAGCATGAAAAAACATATTTAACAAACATACACACCTGGACCTGTATTATAGTATTTAATATATTATCACCATTTAGAACCATATGATGATCTGTTCGGGAAGAAATAGACTCGCGACATCTAATTTGTTGTGGCACGTGGTCCTATCACAGGCTCTTGTGTTGTTGTTTGAATATTTCCGGATCACGTAAAGATATAATAGGAAAATAAATTTCTGACACTCGTGATTTTAATTATCTAGAAATATTTAAGCACAAGGGCTGGTGAGTCCTATGTACAGCGCACTGGTCACATATCAGGCAGAGTTAAGTAACGTGGGTAGGGAGAGTTGGTGGATCGGCGACTGTGTTCGGTAGCTTGGCTCCTGGGAGTTTCTTTGGTTTCTAACACATATATGTCGTAACAAATGTAATAACAAACACAGAACTGACCCAACAATAACTAAGACAGAAATGTCGTAACAATAACTAACTTAGAAATGTAACAATAACCAACACAAAAACGTAACAATAACCAACACAGAAACGTAACAATAAACATATAGTAATGAAACAATAACCAACACAGAAATGTCGTAACAATAACCAACACAGGAATGTCGTAACAATAACCAACATAGAAATGTAACAATAACCAACACAGAATTGTAACAATAACCAACACAGAAATGTAACAATAACCAACACAGGAATGTAACAATAACCAACACAGAAATGTCGTAACAATAACCAACATAGAAATGTAACAATAACCAACATAGAAATGTAACAATAACCAACACAGAAATGTAACAATAACCAACACAGGAATGTAACAATAACCAACACAGAAATGTAACAATAACCAACACAGAAATGTAACAATAACCAACACAGAAATGTCGTAACAATAACCAACATAGAAATGTAACAATAACCAACACAGAAATGTAACAATAACCAACATAGAAATGTAACAATAACCAACACAGGAATGTAACAATAACCAACACAGGAATGTAACAATAACCAACACAGATATGTCGTAACAATAACCAACATAGAAATGTAACAATAACCAACACAGGAATGTAACAATAACCAACACAGATATGTCGTAACAATAACCAACACAGAAATGTAACAATAACCAACACAGAAATGTTACAATAACCAACACTGGAATGTAACAATAACCAACATAGAAATGTAACAATAACCAACACAGAAATGTTACAATAACCAACACAGGAATGTAACAATAACCAACACAGAAATGTAACAATAACCAACACAGGAATGTTACAATAACCAACACAGGAATGTAACAATAACCAACATAGAAATGTAACAATAACCAACACAGAAATGTAACAATAACCAACACAGAAATGTAACAATAACCAACATAGAAATGTAACAATAACCAACACAGAAATGTAACAATAACCAACACAGAAATGTAACAATAAAAATACAGTAATGAAACAATAACCAGCATAGAAATGTAACAATAACCAACACAGAAATGTCGTAACAATAATCAACATAGAAATGTAACAATAACCAACACAGAAATGTAACAATAACCAACACAGAAATGTAACAATAAAAACACAGTAATGAAATAATAACCAACACAGAAATGTAACAATAACCAACACAGAAATGTCGTAACAATAATCAACATAGAAATGTAACAATAACCAACACAGAAATGTAACAATAACCAACATAGAAATGTAACAATAACTAACTTAGAAATGTAACAATAACCAACATAGAAATGTAACAATAACCAACATAGAAATGTAACAATAACCAACATAGAAATGTAACAATAACCAACACAGAAATGTAACAATAAAAATACAGTAATGAAACAATAACCAACATAGAAATGTAACAATAACCAACACAGAAATGTAGCAATAACCAACATAGAAATGTAACAATAACCAACACAGAAATGTAACAATAAAAATACAGTAATGAAACAATAACCAGCATAGAAATGTAACAATAACCAACACAGAAATGTAACAATAACCAACACAGGAATGTAACAATAACCAGCATAGAAATGTAACAATAACCAACACAGAAATGTAACAATAACCAACACAGGAATGTAACAATAACCAACATAGAAATGTAACAATAACCAACACAGGAATGTAACAATAACCAACACAGATATGTCGTAACAATAACCAACACAGAAATGTAACAATAACCAACACAGAAATGTTACAATAACCAACACTGGAATGTAACAATAACCAACACAGAAATGTAACAATAACCAACACAGAAATGTTACAATAACCAACACAGAAATGTAACAATAACCAACACAGAAATGTTACAATAACCAACATAGAAATGTAACAATAACCAACACAGAAATGTCGTAACAATAATCAACATAGAAATGTAACAATAACCAACACAGAAATGTAACAATAACCAACACAGAAATGTCGTAACAATAATCAACATAGAAATGTAACAATAACCAACACAGAAATGTAACAATAACCAACACAGAAATGTAACAATAAAAACACAGTAATGAAATAATAACCAGCATAGAAATGTAACAATAACCAACACAGAAATGTCGTAACAATAATCAACATAGAAATGTAACAATAACCAACACAGAAATGTAACAATAAAAATACAGTAATGAAATAATAACCAACATAGAAATGTAACAATAACCAACACAGAAATGTCGTAACAATAACCAACATAGAAATGTAACAATAACCAACACAGAAATGTAACAATAACCAACACAGAAATGAAACAATAACCAACACAGAAATGTAACAATAACCAACACAGAAATGTCGTAACAATAACCAACACAGAAATGTAACAATAACCAACATAGAAATGTAACAATAACCAACACAGAAATGTAACAATAACCAACACAGGAATGTAACAATAACCAACACAGAAATGTAACAATAACCAACACAGAAATGTAACAATAACCAACACAGAAATGTAACAATAACCAACACAGAAATGTAGCAATAACCAACATAGAAATGTAACAATAACCAACACAGAAATGTAACAATAACCAACACAGAAATGTAACAATAAAAATACAGTAATGAAACAATAACCAGCATAGAAATGTAACAATAACCAACACAGAAATGTCGTAACAATAATCAACATAGAAATGTAACAATAACCAACACAGAAATGTAACAATAACCAACACAGAAATGTAACAATAAAAACACAGTAATGAAATAATAACCAACATAGAAATGTAACAATAACCAACATAGAAATGTAACAATAACCAACATAGAAATGTAACAATAACCAACACAGAAATGTAGCAATAACCAACATAGAAATGTAACAATAACCAACACAGAAATGTAACAATAAAAATACAGTAATGAAATAATAACCAACATAGAAATGTAACAATAACCAACACAGAAATGTAACAATAACCAACATAGAAATGTAACAATAACCAACACAGAAATGTAGCAATAACCAACATAGAAATGTAACAATAACCAACACAGAAATGTAACAATAACCAACACAGAAATGTAACAATAACCAACACAGAAATGTAACAATAACCAACATAGAAATGTAACAATAACCAACACAGAAATGTAACAATAACCAACACAGAAATGTAACAATAACCAACATAGAAATGTAACAATAACCAACATAGAAATGTAACAATAACTAACACAGAAATGTAACAATAACCAACATAGAAATGTAACAATAACCAACACAGGAATGTAACAATAACCAACACAGAAATGTAACAATAACCAACACAGAAATGTAACAATAACCAACATAGAAATGTAACCAACACAGAAATGTAACAATAACCAACACAGAAATGTAACAATAACCAACATAGAAATGTAACAATAACCAACACAGAAATACGGTAACAATAATTAACACAATAATGTCGTAACAGTTATATATGGCAGTTGTCTATTCACAATATCACGTCACAAGTAATGTCCCCAATTTCTGCTTCAAAGACCTTGAACTTAACGAATGTGCTAAGCAGGAGCGACGTGACGTGACAACGCCCTCTACAAAATACTAGCACAAGGACGAAGCCTTCACCCAATGCTATGTTACAGAAAAACAAGAAACGCAATCCCCTTGAGTGAAGCCAACATAGACAGCACCCTTTTAGGCACTTAAACACCCAATATGTATAAAGGATTCAAATGTTCATATATTTTTAATATATTGTTTTAATCCTCTAAAAAGAAAGATATTCTAAAAATAAACGTAAGCAAGTAAGCGGTAACTTGGCAAAATATGTCTATGTGCTTCGCTTTGGAGTGCTGGTGGATTTCCGACCGCGTGAGCCGGATTACATTAAATCTCACGTTATCAAGAACACCGGCGATAACAACGAGATTCCGAGAGATTTCCTCTTGTGTGTCGATGCCAGGCACAGTTAACATCAATTTGGATCGACGTGACCTCCGATCTGGAATAACTGAGGAAACCTTGAATCATGCTGAATCCAGCTAGTTCATGATGCCAAGGGATTCGTAGGTTTGACGCACTCTGTGACAATATCAACGACTAGCGTGAAGATCACATTGCATAGAATAAGCAAAACACATATTTGCATCTTAAAGGTACGCGTCCTTTCTTTGTATCAAGAATCAATATTGATTCCCGATTGTAGTCATTTGTGTATATCAGTTTTGATACAATCTTTCGGTGGATATTATATATACATTCAGGCCGGATTTAGTTGTCAGCGTCTAAAAAGTTATCTTGACAAAAGTTGTATACGCTATGCAAGGTGTGTTTATGTCACAACATTCGCTTCTATCGTAAATCTATATGTCTATATATCTATATAAGGTAGAATAACAACTAGCTGTAGATGCTCAACCACGTCAATACACACAGTGTTCAGCTATGGATGTATGTCCCTACAT